CTTATAGGCTTGTCTGCCCGTTACTCACCTGCAGGCACTGAAAGAGGGGAAGAAGTGCTGCTCCCCGAGCCTGACAAAACCAGTTGTCAGCAGCTGGATCTAATGGGGGTGAGGCTGGCCGCCTGCTGCAAAACCTCTAGCTCACAAGGTGAGGAGAGTTACCGCCAAGTTCCTGTAGAAACCCTGGCGGAGAAAGCAGCCAGCGCGAGTTTTTGCCAGCAACCCGTCCCGTCCCACCCTTTTTATCCGCGGCATCCGCCCTTCAGCTCTGGCTCCTGCACGAATCTGGGCAGGGCAGGCGGGCGCCTCAGTGGTCTCCGTGCCCGAGAGGACGCCTCCCCTAGAGGGGCAAGAAAGGTGCCCCCCAGCCCTCTGCTTTTGGGTATTCCCGGGCAGGGTTCTGCCCCCCACCCCACCCCACCCCAAAGGAGCCACAAGGTCTCAACAGTAAAGCAGTCCTGTATCTCTTTGCCAGGGAGGGGACGGAGGGGCGGGGGGGCATGCTTCACCTGTTGGGTTTCTGCAGCTCTTAAAGACGTCAGCGCCCAAGCAGTAGGAAGGGCAGGGAGGCGTTTTGCAAGAGGAAAGGGAAGAAGCAACGTTACCCTGGGGGAGGGGGATGGTTCACATTTCAGGGATGGAAGATCCAGTTCCCCACCTCCCTGCAGGTTCACAGATGAGTGGCCCCGAATCAGGGACCTCATGGAGTAACCAGACCATCAGAAGAACAAAGCAGACTGTGAAAGGCTATTGCAAGGTTAGGGGATGAAGAGGAGATGGCCTTTAGGGACATTGCAGAGCTATCAGATCTGAGCTTCTGAAATCCAGATAACCACCAGATGACATAAGGCAGTACTGTAGTTGTTTCTGTATCTCTTTGCTGCCACCTTATGGCCATCTGGATCTTTACCTCCCTGATCTAGTGGCCCTGGTAAAGTGCTTCTTCCCAGAATGACCCTGCTGCACCCAAAGAGCATCCAACACTTTTGCATTGCTGTCTGAAATAGCTCCACTTCCATCCCTAATTACAACCCAATAACCGAGGATGGAAGCCGTTTTCAAACACATATTGAGTCCCATGTTCCTCTGTGGTCTTGCCTATGGACCAGTCCAATGGCTACAAACTCTATAAACATATAAAACTAGATAAAAGATCCTGATTGGTGCCATTTTATATTTATACATACATTCTCCCAATCAAATTAGAGGCCATTCCTGTAAAGTCAGCATATATAAGCTAACCATGTCAGTTACAAAGCTAGTAACAAAATGCTAGGCTTAATTTCTAGTAGTAACCTTCCCCCCCCTCACCCCCCCACCCCTTTTCTGGTGACTTACGATGTTATGCAAACTCAGCCTGTTTCCTTAGATTGTTCTTCACTGGATTAATTCAACACCACTGAATTTATGTGACACAGCTATACTCGTCCTCACCTAACAACATCTTGCAAATATAGGAGTTCTGCTGCGCTTATGGCAGCAACTTTATTATTGCGATAGAACAATCTTCCTCAACTTGGAGCCCTCTACATGTGGCCTGGAAAAAAGGGTTAAAGGTGAGAATAAGATGGTGGAGAAAGTGTTCATCAACCACCTGTCACTGATTTTACTTTTCAAATTATACCCTGCCCTATAACCAAAGAAGTCTCACAACTACCTCACAATAGATACATTTGAAGTAGGTGTGAAGTATGGTGGATTTCTTTCTGGTTTATCACGAACATCAAGTGTTCCCACTTGATAGCATAGCAATGCTAGTTGTACTTCTGAAGAAATTGGAGATTGGTCACTAGACAGCTAAGAGCCACTAAGTAAGAGATCTGAGATATACTACTACTCTTATTTTAGTTCTTGCTAGCAACTTTCTTCTTTATGCTGTTGTTCAATATGCCTGACGTCCAACAAGAATAAAATTAATCACAATCTGTACTATAATCAATCTCGAAAAGAATTGTTATTCCACTGAAAGGAGTGGCTGTTATCAGAACCATGGTTTGCGCTTCACAACCAAAACCAGCAAAGATAATCCATGGCATCTGATATGTATGAAACTTGTTTCTTTTTAAATCACTGAGATGATCTTGAAGAAAGGAAAATGTAGACTTGTCTGGCATCTCTAGTTCAATTAGAGCCTTTTTTGCCTTAGAACCTCTTTAGGATAAGAAGAGGCCATCTGATGCTGTCCCTAAAACGTTTTAGCCTCTATGTTCATTCAGCCCTATCCAGAAAGACCAGTTCAAGAAATTATAGGAGTAATAGTTCAAAACATTTGGAGGCTACCAGATTGCCTACCATTCCTTCAGTGCATGTTCTGCTGAGCACCATCACTTCCAATGGTACCAACAGGAAAGAACTTTGGGATAGATGTCCAAGCAAAACAAGCAAGATCCTTTGGCATCTGCAATCCAGCAGTTTTTTTGGCAACCTTACTGAGATAAAGTCATCAGCAGCCATCGTCATATTTTGGTTGTATTTGGGTTGGTTTCATGGGCAATAACTGGATATTTCCAGGATGTTACTGAGATGTCATAAATGCATCCTATTGTTAAGCAGAGCTTTTGAATGTCTTGCTAACATAAACTGATTGGCCTATGATGTTGATATTTTGTTGGAGACTGAAATTCTCCTTAGTGTTTTTTTTAAAATGCCTATCCCACCCACGGCAAATATATCTCTGGAAAATATGGTTAATTTCCCCCCATCTTCAGTTTCTTGGGGATAATAGTATTATTGGGTACATTGATTATTTTTAACGTGCTAAGAATATGTGTGGTTCAGTGACAAAATGTAAACCTTGCATGCAGAATATTCCAAGTTCAGTTTCTAGAATTTTTTTGTAGGCATGTTCAAGACTCCTCTCAGATTCTTTAGAGAGCTGCTCCCAGTTAATGCTAACCATGGATAAATGTATCATGTAAACATGGATACATTTAAGTTCTTTTTGCTTTGAGGGACCTTCTAGTTATCCTGCTGAGTGAAGCCATAGATTTATGCTCTGACATTTTGCTTTAATGGTGCCACTGTCTATCTTCTCAAGGTTGCTCTCTTTTTAGAATCAGGCAGATGATCAGGCTGTACCCACTACTGTAGCCCTCAACCTGCAACCTGTTAGATGACTCAGTCTTGCTCCACATTCTTTGTCCTTGATTTCATCCCACAGCTCTCTTTCATCCAGCTCCTCAGTTCCACTCTTGCTCTGATTTGCTGGACTGCTGACTCCTCCAAGTAGCAACACATTCGCAGCACCTCCTGGAAACCTGTTACTGGTTCACATTCTGTGGCCTCATCCTGGCAGCAGCTGCTCCCGCCCCACTAGCCCAGAGGAGCAATGAGCAGTAAACAGGAAGCATGTTGCCCATGCCGTAGCCCGCATCCCAGGCAAAAATGTCCTAGTGGCAACTGCCTGTTTGCTTAGAAATTAAAGAGTAGGTTGCTAACACGAAGAGTGGGCGGTGGGGGGGGGGAAGCCTCAAAATAGCCCTGAGCTCATCATTCTGGCAAGCCCTTCTCTCTCTCTTTTCAGGGAAAGACCCATCTGGGATGAACTAGGCAATTCTCTACCTAACCCCAAACTGTGCCCTCCACTTTTAGTTCCCATACATGGAGTTAGCCCCACCCATCTTCAGGGCCCAGCTGAGAGAATGGCCTTTTGGGACGAGCCCAGGGAACTCCTTGACTACTTTCCTAGTAAAGCCCCTGGGGTCTTCCCTTGTCATGCCAGAGGCCTGACACCCAGAGCACTCTCTGCTTCTCTCCCCAACACATGGCTTCTGGTTAAATGACATCAGGGGACTTAGCAATTGTCAAAGCACCAGATTCTTCAAAACATATTGCTATGACCGAGAGCTGTCAGCAGTTCCATACAAAACAAAAGAAGGAGGCAGGCAAATTGTGAAGGATGGGATAGAGTGAAGCAGGAAAAGGGCTCTGTTACCTTCCTGAGAACCCTCGAAGCAGAAGGGTCACCCCTCCTGCGTAAGGGGACTGATAGCAGCAACTTGTTTTCAGGCTACAGTGTCAACTCTGGAGAGATTTGCCAGGGCAGACCAGGGCATGGGGATTTGTAAATATTATGGTTCCCTGTCCCGATTGAACTGAGCCAGCACATTTCTTATAATCAGAGGCCCAACCTCTAGGCGTGATTTGAAGCATGGAAAATATAGAGTAGATGAATCAACTTCAAAATGACACTTTAATGTAACTGCATTCACTTCATCACTTATTTATCCAAATAAAACCTGCTTAACACAACCTTTTCCAAACTGGCATCTTCCAAATGTGTTGGAACTGCAGTTCCCAGAATTCCTGTGCTGAGTTAGCACAATGAAGGTAGTTAACTTAGTCATAGTTAAATTTGGTAAAGACT